TATGTGCAGCTGAGTGGGGCATGCATGAGGAAAACCGTGCTGTCCTTTTATGGAATAAAAACAAGTGGCTCACAAACAGCACCATCTCTTCTCCAAACAAATTTACCTTTCAGTGTTAGCAGCTTTCAGCTTATTTAACGTAAATTATTGCATTTCTGCAAAACAGTGAACTATAATTTCAAACTGAAATCTTAAACAACCAATAAAAGGCAAATACGAATAAAAAAAGCAAACTTACAAATAAAAAACGCCATCCTTTGTTTTAGAAAGCCTGAAGATCCACATTTTCACGTCTGCATGTGAGTTTAATAACTGAAATGTTTGCAGCTGATGTCTGAGTGAAAGCAGGATGAAGCCGCCTCCTCTGCAGCGTTGACACATCCCTCTGCATAACTCACACAACTCTCAGCTACGGTGGAAAACAAATGGTCGACTAATGGTTTATTAGATTAAATTTAGTTCATATCGATTAACTAATACCCGCTGAGACCTTCTTCTAGTGTTGCAGTTTGGCTGCCATCCAGCAGAGGGCGCTGCTGGTCATCTTGAAGCAGAATTTGTTGATGCAGATAACAAAGATGGCAGACAGTCGAGCTGCATGAAGAAGCTAAACTTGATGTGCTAGGAGGTGAAGATGTGTCGACAGAAACGCGGCGGATTTAACGGAGAAAAATCGGAACATGATGAAAAAACATGGCGCCAAAACGCACAGTTGTTTTTGAGGGCTGTGGTGAGTTAATGCAAGTTTTAACTTTCCTTCAAGAGTAACAGACAGTACTTCTGTATGAATATCTGTTTCTGGGGAATTAAGAGTTTAACATGGTTTGTTCTTTTAAAATCTCCTTAGTAACTTAAAAAGGCTACTGATTTGGTATGTCTTACTATTAATTGATTTGAGTTGGGAAGTTTTGTTTTCTATTTATAATTTATGGTAATTTACTACCAATTTTATTATTTTTTCATTAAACTCAAATTTTATTTTTGTTTTGTCATATATCTGCTTATGATGTTGACATTATTGTGTAGCAGCTGTGAATGTGCTACATAAATAAACTTTGACTTGATAATTAGGTCTCCGTTTAATAACGTGAGAAAACCACAATTTTCTGTTTATTTTTTTTCTGATACAAAAAATTGTTAAAATATAATGTTCTTTTTTAAAATTTCATCTTATTATAAAAAATTTAGCCCATCATGTTATGGACAGACGGTTATGGACAGTTTTCTCTTTATGCAAGAGAAAACTGAAGTTTTTAAGAAAATGGCCGCCTATAAATTAGCTGATCAATCAGCTTTATTAATCGATATAACCTATATATATCCTGGCTCTACTTACAGTTTGGGCTTGGCCAGCACCGGCGGCGGCTCTTTGCCGGACAATGCCAGACTGAGGTCTTCGTCATAGTCGCCTTGTTCTTCGTCCTCCTCATCCTCGGGGAGTTTGAAGTGGACGCGCAGGCCGACCCTCGCGCCGGACCGGGAGTCTCTGTGGTTCGTCAGGGTTCCTGTTTTCAGGCAGGAGTTAGGCGGAGGGTCAGGCAGGGGAACCACGCCGCTGCCGCCATTTGGCCGGTTTGGGGCTGCCTTGGCATTTCTATCTGACGGTCTGGACGCTTTCTGCTCAGATGTATTCGCCGCCGCAGGAGAAACGGTGAAAGGACTTTGACTGGAGAAAATCTGCCTGGGGTTCTGGAGGTCGACGCGTGGACCGCTGGACCCCGAGACGCTGTCCAAGTTCAGGACGGAGGGCTCCAGACGGAGGGTGCTGGTGTTTAACGGGTCGAGGCGTAACGTGCTGGAAACCAGCGGCTCGAGGCGGATGCTGCTGCTCACCGTGACCTCTGGCTGGGAGGTCACAGCCGGAGCCGACGGGGTGAAGCTCTGGCCTCGGCGGGACTCTGTCAGTAACCCACTGAAAGGCCTCGCATGGCTGCTGGTGCTGCTGTTAGCTGAGAAAAAACAAATAAATTTACCCAAAAATACTATAGGGTTCAAACGATTAATCACAATTAATCGATTATTGAAATGGTCGCCTAATTTTGTAATCGATTAATTGTTAATTGGAGAATACAGATTTTTACAAAGGCCACTTGGTCAGAGCAGTAAATTAGCCAAAACTGCATATAAATAAATATCTTGTTTATTTAAGATAAAAACACCTGATTCAGATTTATAAGGAATACATTTAGGGAATAAAAAGCTTGGTTTCTTATTTAAAAAGGAATTGAATTAGTTGTTTATTTGCATTTTTATGTATTTCTAATATTGTGTAAACAAAAAAGGTTTAAGTGGTTAAATAAAAAATCTCCAGAATGTGCTGCGTTTTTATTGCATTAATCGTCAGAATAATACACAGATTAATCGATTTATAAAATAATAATTTGCCCTAAACCCTCTGAACTCCCCACATTTTTTATTCTGTTGAAAGAAATAGGAGTTTTACCTTTGACCCTCAGTGCAGCAGAGCTGGATACCGTTCCATAATTGTTGTTGGCTGTGCAAGTAAACATCCCCGAGTCCTCTGGAAAAACCTCAGCTATAACCAGCGTGCAGATTTCCTCTGCAAGAAAAACAAAACAAAGAACCCTGCATCACTTCAAACAGCCCCGCAGCGTGTTTTTCTGCGCATCACTTCAGCTGGGAGTCGGTGTGCAGCTGCTGCAGGAGGACCACATCAGCCATGGATGGGGGATACCTTATAAGGTCCAGTCTGTGGGAGTAGCAGCCTGGCTTATGTACAGAAGAAGAGCTGAGGACTTTAAACACTGCAGCTCCTCTAAACGCTGCTCTGGTGAAGCTAGCTCACGTGTTTCAGAGACTGAATGAGCTTCATACCTGCTTCTGCTGGAGATCTGGGCTCTGAAACAAGAACAGAAACCAACTTTGGTCACAAACTGATCTATAAAAAGCTTTTTTAACAAATTCATGATGATTTTTGTTTGAAAAATACATTTGAATTGAACACAGGGCTCATTTAGTTTTCTCTGTTTAGTTTCTGACCTTTTCCAGCTGCAGTAAAAGTAAAAGTTCATTTTGTCTAGTTACAAATTTCACTTCATATAGAGAAGCTGTCGTTATAACAAGACATAAAACTTGTTTCATAACAAAACGTTCTCATTTAAACAAGAAACTTTATAGTTACAACAAAAACGTTCAACAAATAGTCTCTTGTTTGACAGAGAAACTCTTTGGTTATGACTTGATAAAACTCATCTCATAATGAAACTCATCTATATAAGAAACGTGCCTTAAAACAGAAAACAATCTTGATATAACGAGAAGCTTTTTCATGAGAAATTAGAGTGGTATACAAAAATCTCATTAAACTAAAAAACTTATAAAACTTCTCATCACAAGAAAGTTTCCCTTTATGAGTAGATATACAACTTGTCTCGTTAGAGCAAGAAACTCATTAAAACAAATGTGCATGCCACACTTTTCAGTCTTTTTTCTTGTAAACACCTTTTGTAAGTCTTCCATATCCCCTCTGCTTCACAGACAATACAATTCATTTAAATGTGAACATCTGAAAATCACATTAAATAAAGAACAAACTGCACTTAAATGCCTCCACTTTTCTTCTTCGGCGTGTTTATTCAGACGGATATGAAAACGGATTTTACTTTTCTGTAGGATTCTGAAATCAGGGGAGTCCTGTATGAGTTGTCCGTCCCTGAACCAGTCGACCCGCGGAGACGGGACTCCCTTCACCCGGCACTCCAGCACCACCAGCTGGCCTTCTGACGCACTCAGATCCTGCAGGCTCTTTAAACACACAAAACAGGAAACAGAGGGATACATAAATACAGCTGGAACCACATATTTACATACACACAATAAATGGACACATTCTTTTTTTTCCTCATACGCGTTTATGTCAGAATTACCAAAGTTATGTCTATTTGCTAAATGCTGGAGCAGGAAACCCAACAGGTTTGACCCAAGTGATACTGATGAGATGCATGTAAACTTCTGGATTGAAAGAAATTTACAAAAAAATAGACATCTAAAAATGTTCTCAAACTTTTATGTTATTTAGCAAATAGAAATAATTTTGGTGATTCAAACTGACCCAAAACAAGAGAAGTTTGGTCTGATTTTACTTTAGACAGAAAGAAAATAAATGTTTGTCTCTGAATTCAGCGTTTGTAAACTTGTGGTTTCTACCTTGGTGAACACCGGAGCGGCCATGACGGGCAGCCCGCTTCTTTCTTCTGAGTAGAGCTGGCTGAAGGTTGGAGTCTGCAGGAAAACACAGAGCCGGGTAGGAACTACCTACATTTCTTGAACGGCTTTGATTTGAGTAATTTTATTATGAAGTATTTCTACTCTTACTTGAGTAAAATTTCTGGATTTTCTACCCACTGAATGAAAACATACATGTTTCAACCTAAATTTCACCAGACACAGACACACACCTGCAGTTTTTGTTAAAGTTTCATAAGTTTTTAATTGAAAGAAACTGACTTGGAAAAAATGCTCTAACCTTTGGTTATTTATATTAATTATTTCCATTTTGGTGTTGAAAATACCAAAATTACCTATATTTTGGTCCGTCTGACAATGTAATTCTTAAACAAATATTTAGAAATGCTGCTAGATTTGAACTGATAGATTTTTAGAAATTAACTCAGTTCTCGAGCAACAATAATTACATTTTTTTGCTTCTTGGAAAACTTCACAGGAAGACATGTCGGTTATAATATTTGGGATAAAAATGAGGCTGCAAACGGAAACCTTGCGGTTTGTTTACCTGAAGTTGTGGCGTTTGTGCTGCAGTGGACAGTATGGACGACTCGGCTGGATTTAAAGCCAGTGTTGAAGTGTTTTCAGTTTCTGTTGGTTCTGCTGAAGTGGGAAACACCTGCACAGGTAGCACTGTTTGCTCCTCCCCCGCAGGAGGAGCCAGGGTCACTCTGGAGAGCTCGGGGACCTGCAGTATGGTGGCAGATGTCCGGACCGGTAGAGGAGCTTCTGGAGCGGTTTGGGTCAAATCCTCCTCCGGTTCCACTGCGGCTGCTGCGAGCGGAGACGAGGCCGAGTCCTCGTCCTTCACAGGCCGAGTTTGGTTTGACGACTGAGGTAAAGATGGAGATGACTTTGGTTTCCGCTGCAACCTTAAAAAACAAACAAAACAGATGTGAGGCAAGAACAGGGTTATGCAGATTTGGTTGTTAAAAGCAGGAATCTGATGCAGAAATGTATTTTTATTGAAGACTTTCGTTCTCACTTTTGGAAACTACTTAATTAGAGATGCAATTTATCCACTAACAAGTTAATATAAAGGTGATTGATTTGATTAATTGAGGCTCTTTCCGTAACATAAAACGTTAAATTTGTCATAACATGCTTAATTTAACAAAAACATCGTTAAATTTTAACATTATTTTGTGACAGCGGTATTAAATATTTAGTGAATAAACAGAAAATTGTGGTTTTCTCACATTGTTAACTTTCGAAGCACATCTGTAATTTCTGGTACAGAAGTTGTCGCAGCTCCGTTGTGTAGCTTGGATGAATAAAACGCTATGAAAGTGAAACTTAAGGAGTTTGTCGAGTGTTTCTATTTCAAAACAGAACCGCATTAAGTGATTTTTTTCACCCCACAGCGGACTCGGTTTGGACCAGGTTTGGACCGCGTCTCTTTCCTGTTCTGGTTCGGCCGCCATCTTGTATCAACTGGCTTCGCTTGAGGATGACCAGCGGCGCCCTCTGCTGGATGGCGGCCAAACTACAACACTGGAAGACGGTAATCTATTCAAACTAATCTTAATCTAATAAACCAGCTTTTAGACTTTATAACCATCACTGCTCCCAATAAACTCAAACATGTTTACATCCCTGCTATAAACTGTTATAGGCATAGTTTTAAAATTTTCTTTACGGTATAAGTTGATTATGTTAATTAATTACTTTATGACGAATAATGATTAATGGATAAAAAAATTGGCAACTAAATAAATACATTTATTTTATTTATTTAGTTAGTTATCAGAAAGTAAATTTCTGACTGGATTGATGTGCCATGACAGTAAAACTCACTGGGCGACATGATCAAATCGCTGTTCAGCCTCAGAGTCTGAAGAGGAAGCACCTGAAGGATGAGACAGGCGTGTGAATAAAGCCCTGAAGAGGTGATTATCTGATGCTTTAAATAAACGTGAGCCTCACCTTCAACATAGATCTCAGCCGACGTGGAGTCCGTCCCGTAGACGTTGGAAGCGAAGCAGGAATATCGGCCGGTGTCTTCCTCAAACGCCTCTGCTATGACCAGAGAGTGAAGCTCGCCGCTGGTGATGATCTGAATGTCAGGGCTGTTTTCCAGTTCCTTTCCCTCACAGAACCACCTGAAAGTCAGCAGAAAGTGAACCACCTTGTTTTTATTTGTTCATCTTAGGATCTCACTGGAAAGTAACTTATTCAGAAACTCTTTTAAGATTAAAAATCTGAAAAATGTGACATAATTTTGCATTCGGACACTTTTACTCTGATACTTCTAAATAAAACCGTTCATGTAATTTAATCTGCTCTGTGAAGGCTTCAGGCAGGGTTGGGCGATAAATAGTTGTTATTTTTTTTATATCAATTAATCCTTTTTGGTTTTTGAAGATAACATTTTTGAAAAATCAGATTTTTTTCCCCCCACCAATGCACTCCTTGGGTTTCCATAGTTCAGAGTGATGTCAGCACTGAGGGCGGCCATCTTGCTTGAGAACCATGTTTTACAGCTTGTATATTTGTACTTTAAATTCAGGTCAAATCTACAATTAAATATTCGTGTTTTAAATTTATTCCTTATTTTTTACAAAAATATAGTCAAAATGTCGTAGTCCTATTACTATGACTATTCTCGTCATAGTAATACGAGAATAAAGTCTTAATATTAGAAGAATAAAGTAGTAATTTAACAAGATCTCCAACACAAAAAACAAAATTAATTATCCAAGATTTTCTCTCAATAATTTTTTTCCTCATAATTTTAAGATGTTTCTCTGGTAAAACTGCATCTTTGTTGTGACTGTATTCTCGAAAATAAGCAAGAATTACACCAAATTGGCCCTAATGCAGTTTTGTGTGTCAAATAAGAAGATGTTGGTGGTGGTTGTGTCTTTTCTTGCTTCCATTTAACCATTTCTGGTCGGATTCTCATCAGTCAACAGTTAAAGATTTTCATGAGCAAGTCGCATCTTTTTTACTGCAAAACAAAAAGCATCACTGGCACCGGTAAACCAAGTGAAATTTGAAAGAGAAGGAGAAATATTGACGTACTTTGACATAATGTAGCATATAAAGCCTCTGCTACGCTCTTTTAATTGTAAATCTATAACGGTAAACATCAAACTCCTCCGTCCGGAGCAGCAACATACCTCTACGTCAGCGTGCGTCTATTTTCAGAGGTTGAGGCTTTGATACTTCATAAAATCCAACCAAGGGCCAAACAAGAAGCATATGATGGTTGCTGTTGGTGTCAACGCTCAGCAATAAACCTGTCCACGCGCAAAAAACCGGACAGTGATCCAAGCTTTTAAGCTTCTGTGGTAGCAGGAAGAGAAAAAGCCAGACACGCGGGATTTCAATCCCCAAACAACAGCTGGAGGAGCCCAGTGGAGCCACTTCTGATGAGTAAGGGGCTAAATTGAAAGCATGAGTAGCAGAGGAGGAGGCGGTTGCCCCATGAAGGTGAAGACCCGGCCTCGCTGCACCTGTCCGGGCTATTTTCCCTCCTGAGATCAGAACCAGAGAGGAGGTTTCCTCTCCGACTCACTGAACTTACGCACGACACTAAACATAGACTCAGAGTACACACAATGCAGAATGTGGACACACAGTACAGCACTTCAGAACGACGTCGGCTCCTTGAAGTCAGACAAATCGCAGCTAAAGCTGTGAAAACAGCAAACGAGGACTGAAATGATTTATCGGATTAATCATGATTAATCAATTATTTAAATCAATTATTTAACTGGAGTAAATAGACTCAAAAAAGACAACTTGTTGAAAGAATAACACACTCAGAGTGGTATTTAAGCCAAAACTGTACAAAAATTCCTAATTTTTTCATTTAAGGTTAAGGAAAAAAATTTTTGTCAGTATTTCCTACATATAGGACTTCAAGTGGCAGTTTTAGCTTCACCTGGTTAAAAAATCTCCTATTAAATACTTTTAATTGCAATTAATTAGTTAATTCAAATGATAAACAACAGATCAGCCATACATTGTATCAATGTTAAGTTGAGCAGAAAGTACAGAGCTTTTCACGTTAATGTTTTAAGTATTTATTTAGCTGCAGATAAATACTTGGCTTCAAAGAATCAAACATTAACTAAAAGGATGCTATGTTGTTGCATCTTAGGCAATAAAATGTTTACTTTATTATTTAAACATGGATGTCTGCATCTTTGACTGTAATTTGAATGCATAAAAACGCTTTGGTGCAGAGCTGAAACGATTAATCACGATTAATCACGATTAATCGTACGAAACTAATTTAGTAAGCAATTATTTATTTGGTGAAAAAACAACATAGTCATAGCAGTAATTAAGCAAAAACTGTACAAAAAATACATTTTGATAAAAATTAAATGAAAACTCTGCAGATCGTGTAATTTTTTTTACACGATTAATCGCTAGTTGCTGCCCTACAGTCAGTCAACATCACAACGTTCAGCATGAACCACAACAAAATGAGCTAACTGTGAAACAGAGGTCACATGAATGTCAACACAAACTCATAAATGCATCATCTGAGCAAAAACTATTCAAGTAATCTCACCGAGAGCCTCACAGTTCCGTCAAGAGCCGAGCCGGTCCATTATCAGACAGGACTGCAGCTCGCGTTGCCAGTCCGGTCTAAAAATGGCCGGCAGCTACATTCTCCACGGACACGTATAAGTTAGAGGCTCAACAATGTTCAGGAGGATCAACAAGCCCATGCCCCCTATAGTCCGACGGCTCAGCTGCTGCCTGCTGTAGCTCTGGAGGAAACCCAACAACACCGGCACGGACGGGAAACCAGCTGAACGCAGCGTGAGAAATAACGACCCGTCACATGTTGGCGCATTCTGATGATTAGTCGTACGGAGGAGCAATCTGTGGACAACTCTGACTGATTGCTTTCACAATTTACTCCACTCAGCACGCACACACACACACACACACACACACACACACACCATCCAGAACCAGGACCAGCTGCTGGCTATCATCACATGTCACTTCTGTCAGGATGGCCCAGGAACAAACCGCATCCTCCTTCCTAACTCCAAATACGTTCAGTGATTATTTGATAGCTGGCAGAGGAAGATGTGTGTGTAAGTTCTTCACACGATTCTGAAAGTTTCAGTAAAACATTCTCAGTTTCTCTCTTTGATGGGAGATTTGACAAGTTGCACAAAGCTGAATAATAAGGAGCTACATCAGGGCCATAGTTTCTTGAAAATATGTATTTTTTTTAAAACTGGAAGAAAAAAAAAAGATTTGATACGGAAAAAATAATTAAAACTGATTCAAGATTTGTTTCAGTTTCCAACTTCTGGACCTGTTAGGACCTTTCCAGAACTTAGAATTTATGTTTCTGGAACCTAAACGTTACCCTCTAGAACCAACTGAATACTTTCTGGAACTTTTGTGTTGCTGGACTGTTGCTGTGATTCTTTCATGCATGTTTGAGAAATCCTTTAATCTCTATGGCAACCATTCAGCTGAACAAAACGCCTGGAAGGACCTAGCCCCGCCTTCGAGGCGCAGCTCCTCCCCCACTCAGCTCAATCAGACTAGTCAGCTGCAAATAAGGGGTTAAATTACAATGTCAGAGTTCTTTTATGTCATATTTGATATATAACAACTGAAGATAACAGTTACTTAATATACTTAATTATGCTATAATATGGCACTATACACCTGAAAATCGCTTAATGCTGCCCCTTTAAGCAGATTATTTTTTCTTACCGGACCTCAGGGACAGGATGTCCCCTCACGATGCAGTCCAGCTGGACCTTGGTGCCTTCAGGAACCTCCCTGCTCTTCAGTTTCAGGATGAAATGTGGAGGTTCACTCGCCGGCTCCGTGTGATTCGGACTCTCCGTCGGCGCCAGGCTTTCATCCAGATCCTCCGTTTCCTGAGAAACGCAGTCAAACTGCTCCTCTTTAGGGACCATGCAGTCCTGAAACTCCAATCGCCCGCTCCCCGGGTCCTGCCAGGCCGCCACCGGGCCGGGTGTCTCCTGCTCCGCCTCCACAGGCATGGCGGCGCGCTCCCTGTTGTCAGGGCTGATGGGGTAAAACGCATCGTCCGTTTGGGTTTTGCTCTGGATCCTGGTCCGGTGGGCCTTGCAAGCTCTCGGTCGGACCCGCTTGGAGCTGTTGGCCTTGAAGAGGGAAGAGAGTTCCTCAATGAAGTCTGCCGCCTTGTTGAGGAACTCTTTCTTGGACTGGGTCTCCGGACCGTAGGGGGAGCTTTTTGCCAGACTGTTGGTGTTGTCGAATCCTTCGTTGGTGTCCAGACTGTTCCTCGTCATGTTGTCCTGCCTGTTGTCAGAATTAGGTAGTAACTAGTTACATTTACTCAATTACATTTACTTCATTAATTTTTCAGAGTATTTTTACTATTTTGGCTGTGTAATCGGAGTTGGGGGAACTTGAAACTCCTTGAGACCAAGCAAGTTGTTGCTAGGTAACCAGAGAGCAAAGTTGGGTAGTTTCTATTTACATTTACTGGGTTATGTTTTCTTTAGTAACTTTTTAGAACTGGGTTGCTACTAACGGGCTGGCCTTGGCCGTTGCTAGGTAACGGGCTGGCCTTGGCCGTTGCTAGGTAACGGGCTGGCCTTGGCCAGTGTTGCTAGGTAACGGCACAGGGCAAGTTGATAGTCAATCAGCTTGTGGAACTAAAACTTTTTCACCAATATTAAGAAATTATTTACTTAAGCTCCCACAACTTTCTAGAAAAATACTTAAAAGTTAATTTTGTCTTATTTCAAGTCTGATAAGATTGTTGCACTAGAAACTACAGAAAAATACTCGATAAGATTGTTTGTGCAGTGTACCGGTGCAGTGGATGGCTACTGTTTACTTTTACTTGAGTAAAAATATGCTACTCTAACTGGACGACTCTAC